GGTGGGATTTGTGTGGGACTTTTGGATTTTGGGGTGGATTTGTGTGGGATTTTTGTTTTTGGGCGGTTTTTGGGGTTTTGGGGGGATTTGTGTGGGATTTGTGTGGGATTTTTGGACTTTGGGGTGGATTTGTGTGGGATTTTCGGACTTTGGGGTGGATCTGTGTGGGATTTTCTAATTTTGGGGTGGATTTAGATGAGTTTGGGGTGGATTTGTGTGGGATTTTCTCATTTTGGGGGGGGGTTTGGGGGGATTTGTGTGGGATTTTTGCACTTTGGGGTGGATTTGTGTGGGATTTGTGTGGGATTTTCGGACTTTGGGGTGGATTTGTGTGGGATTTGTGTGGGATTTTTGGATTTTGGGGTGGATTTTGTGGGGTTTTGGGGGGATTTGTGTAGGATTTGTGTGGGATTTGGGGGCTTTGGGGTGGATTTGTGTGGGATTTATGTGGGATTTTCGGGCTTTGGGGTGGATTTGTGAGGGATTTGTGTGGGATTTTTGCACTTTGGGGTGGATTTGTGTGGGATTTATGTGGGATTTTTGTGCTTTGGGGTGGTTTTGGGTGGATTTTTGTGGGATTTTTGGACTTTGGGGTGGATTTCGGTGGGTTTGGGGTGGATCTGTGTGGGATTTTCTCATTTTGGGGTGGGATTTGGGTGGTTTTGGGGCAGATTTGTGTGGGATTTTTGGACTTTGGGGTGGATTTGTGTGGGATTTTTGCACTTTGGGGTGGATTTGTGTGGGATTTTCTCAATTTGGGGTGGATTTTTGTGGGATTTGTGTGAGACTTTTGGATTTTGGGGTGGATTTAGATGCGTTTGAGGTGGATTTGTGTGGGATTTTCTCACTTTGGGGTGGATTTGGGTGGTTTTAGGGTCGATTTTTTTGGGATTTTCAGGGTTTAGAATAGATTTGAGGCCAAAATCTGTTTTTGTCCCCCAGGCATGCAGCGTCGGGTACCTGAACCTGGGGGTGGATTTTTGTGGGATTTGTGTGGGATTTTTGCACTTTGGGGTGGATTTGTGTGGGATTTTTGGACTTTGGGGTGGATTTGTGTGGGATTTGGTGACACTGGGCTGGATTTGTGTGGGTTTAGGGTGGATTTGTGGATTTTCTCACTTGGGGTGGATTTGGGTGGTTTTAGGGTCGATTTTTTTGGGATTTTCAGGGTTTAGAATAGATTTGAGGCCAAAATCTCGTTTTTTTTGTCCCCCCCAGGCATGGCAGCGTCGGGTACCTGAACCTGGGGTGGATTTGTGGGATTTGTGTGGGATTTTGCACTTTGGGGTGGATTTGTGTGATTTTGGACTTTGGGGTGGATTTGGGTGGGATTTGGTGACACTGGGCTGGATTTGTGTGGGTTTAGGGTGGATTTGTGTGGGATTTTCTCACTTTGGGGTGGATTTGGGTGGTTTTAGGGTCGATTTTTTTGGGATTTTCAGGGTTTAGAATAGATTTGAGGCCAAAATCTCGTTTTTTTTGTCCCCCCCAGGCATGGCAGCGTCGGGGTACCTGAACCTGGGGGTGGATTTGTGTGGGATTTGTGTGGGATTTTTGCACTTTGGGGTGGATTTGTGTGGGATTTTTGGACTTTGGGGTGGATTTGGGTGGGATTTGGTGACACTGGGCTGGATTTGTGTGGGTTTAGGGTGGATTTGTGTGGGATTTTCTCACTTTGGGGTGGATCTGGGTGGTTTTAGGGTCGATTTTTGTGGGATTTTCGCGTTTCGGTTCCGATTTTTTTGGGATTTTCACCTTTTTGAGTATATTTAGGACTAAAAATTTAATTTTTCTGTGCCCCCCCAGGCATGGCAGCGTCGGGGTACCTGAACCTGGGGGTGGATTTGTGTGGGATTTTTGCACTTTGGGGTGGATTTAGATGAGTTTGGGGTGGATTTGTGTGGGATTTTCTCATTTTGGGGTGGATTTGTGTGGGATTTGTGTGGGATTTTCTCAATTTGGGATGGATTTGTGTGGGATTTTCTCACTTTGGGGTGGATTTGGGTGGTTTCAGGGTCGATTTTTGTGGGATTTTCACGTTCCGGGTCCGATTTTTTTGGGGTTTTCAGGGTTTAGAATAGATTTGAGGCCAAAAACTCAATTTTCCTGTCCCCCCCCAGGCATGGCAGCGTCGGGGTACCTGAACCTGGGGGTGGATTTGTGTGGGATTTGTGTGGGATTTTTGGACTTTGGGGTGGATTTGTGTGGGATTTTCGGACTTTGGGGTGGATTTGTGTGGGATTTGTGTGGGATTTTTGTGCTTTGGGGTGGATTTGTGTGGGATTTATGTGGGATTTTCTCAATTTTGGATGGATTTGTGTGGGATTTTCTCACTTTGGGGTGGATTTGGGTGGTTTTGGGGTCGATTTTTGTGGGATTTTCACCTTTTTGTGTATATTTATGACTAAAAACTCAATTTTTGTGTCCCCCCCAGGCATGGCAGCGTCGGGGTACCTGAACCTGGGGGTGGATTTGTGTGGGATTTTCGCACTTTGGGGTGGATTTTTGTGGGATTTGTGTGGGATTTTCTCAATTTGGGATGGATTTGTGTGGGATTTTCGGACTTTGGGGTGGATTTGGGTGGTTTTGGGGTCGATTTTTGTGGGATTTTCACCTTTTTGAGTATATTTATGACTAAAAATTTAATTTTTCTGTCCCCCCCCAGGCATGGCAGCGTCAGGGTACCTGAACCTGGCGGCTGATGCCGCTCACAACTTCACGGACGGGCTGGCCCTGGGGGCTGCGTTTTGGGGGGGCCCCGGGCGGGGGGTCCTGACGGCGCTGACGGTTCTGCTGCACGAGCTGCCCCACGAGCTGGGGGACCTGGCCCTGCTGCTCAGGGCGGGATGCACCAAGGCTCAGGTGACAAACCCCAAATTAAACCTCGAAATCCCCCAAAAAATGCCGAAAAAAACCGGTTAAAATGGGCCAAAAATGGCCAAAAATGGCCCAAAAATGGCCTCAAAATGGCTCAAAAATGGTTTAAAAATGGCTCAAAAATGGCTTTAAAATGGCTCAAAAATGGGCCCAAAATGGTGCCCCAAAATTCACCCCAAAATCCCCCCAAAAAAATGGCCAAAAAATCCCACTTAAAATGGGCTAAAAATGGCCCAGAAATGGCTTAAAAATGGCCTAAAAATGGTATAAAATGGCCCAAAAATGGCTTAAAAATGGTTTAAAAATGGCCCAAAAATGGCCCCAAAATGGTGCCCCAAAAATCACCCCCAAATCCCCCAAAAAAAGGCCAAAAAAATCCCAGTTAAAATGGCCCAAAAATGGCTCAAAAATGGCCCAAAAATGACCCAAAAATGGCCCAAAAATGACTCCAAACCCCCCCAGGAGCTGGGGGACCTGGCCCTGCTGCTCAGGGCGGGATGCACCAAGGCTCAGGTGACAAACCCCAAAATTAAACCTGAAAATCCCCCAAAAAATCACGAAAAAAACCGGTTAAAATGGCTTAAAATGGGCCAAAAATGGCCCAAAAATGGCTCAAAAATGGCCTCAAAAATGGCCTCAAAAATGACCCAAAACCAGCCTAAAATGAACAAAATATGGCCCCAAAAATCTGAGCCCAAAAATCACCCCAAAAACCAAAAAAAACCCCCCAGTTAAAATGGGCCAAAAATGGCTCAAAAATGGCCTAAAAATGGCTTCAAAAATGGCCTTAAAATGGCCCAAAAATGTCCTAAAAATGACCCCAAAATGGTGCCCCAAAAATCACCCCAAAACCCCCAAAAATGGCCAAAAATTCCCACTTAAAATGGGACAAAAATGGCCAAAAATGGCTCAAAAACCGCCTAAAAGTGGCTTAATATGGCCTAAAAATGGTTTAAAAATGGCCCAAAAATGGACTCAAAATGGTGCCCCAAAAATCAACCCAAAATCCCCAAAAAACACCCCAAAAAACCTCTTAAAATGGGACAAAAATGGCCAAAAATGGCTCAAAAACCGCCTAAAAGTGGCTTGAAATGGACTAAATATGGCCTAAAAATGACCTAAAAATGGATTAAAAATGGCCCAAAAATGGACCCAAAATGGTGCCCAAAAATCACCCCAAAACCCCAAAAAATGGCCAAAAAACCCACTTAAAATGGGCCAAAAATGACCCAAAAATGGCCCCAAAAATGACCAAAAATGGCCTCAAAAATGGCTCAAAACCCACCCTAAAATGGACAAAAAATGGCCCCAAAAACCTGAGCCCAAAAATCACCCCAAAACCCCTCAAAAAAGAGATAAAAATTCTGGTTAAAATGGGCCAAAAATGGCCCAAAACACCTCAAAAATGACTCAAAAATGGCCTAAAAATGACCCTAAAAGTGTCCTCAAAATGGTGCCCCAAAGGCACAGGTGACACCCCCAAAAATTGACCCCGAAATCCCTGAAAAAAAACCCAAAAAATCCCAGTTAAAATGGGTCAAAAATGGCTCAAAAATGGCCTCAAAAATGGCTCAAAAATGGCCCCAAAAATGACCCAAAAATGGACCCAAAATGGTGCCCCAAAAATCACCCCAAAATCCCCAAAAATGACCCCAAAAATCACCCCAAAACACCCAAAAAATGGCAAAAAATCCTGCTTAAAATGGACCAAAATGACCCAAAATGGCCCAAAAATGACCCAAAATGACCCAAAAATGACCCCAAAACCACCTTAAAATGGCCCAACTCCTTCCCAGTTTGTCCCAGTGCTTCCCAGTGACCCCCAATCCACTCCCAGTGCCTCCCAGTGCCTCCCAGTGACCCCATATCCCCCTCTCCCAGTTTGTCCCAGTGCCTCCCAGTGACCCCCAATCCATTCCCAGTGACCCTCTAACCCTCTCCCAGTCCCTCCCAGTGCCTCCCAGTGCTCCCAGTGCCTCCCAGTGACCCCATATCCCCCTCTAACCCTCTCCCAGTCCCTCCCAGTGACCCCCAATCCTCTCCCAGTGCCTCCCAGTGACCCCCAATCCTCTCCCAGTGCCTCCCAGTGACCCCCAATCCACTCCCAGTGCCTCCCAGTGACCCTCTGACCTTCTCCCAGTGCCTCCCAGTGCCCACATATCCCCCTCTAACCCTCTCCCAGTCCCTCCCAGTGCCTCCCAGTGACCCTCAATGATTCCATATCCGCTCCCAGTAACCCCAGTTCTCCCATTTAGGCCATGAAGCTCCAACTGGTGACAGCCCTGGCCGCCCTGGCCAGCGCCTCCTGCTCCCTCCTCCCAGTGCTCCCAGTGCCTCCCAGTGCCTCCCAGTGCCTCCCAGTGCTCCCAGTGCCTCCCAGTGCCTCCCAGTGACCCCCAAACCCTCTCCCAGTGATCCCCAATCCATTTCCCCTCCCAGTGCTCCCAGTAACCCCAGTTCTCCCATTTAGGCCATGAAGCTCCAACTGGTGACAGCCCTGGCCGCCCTGGCCAGCGCCTCCTGCTCCCTCCTCCCAGTGCTCCCAGTGCCTCCCAGTGCCTCCCAGTCACTCCCAGTGCCTCCCAGTGACCCCCAATCCACTCCCAGTGCCTCCCAGTGCTCCCAGTGACCCCCAATCCCCTCCCAGTGCCTCCCAGTGATCCCCAATCCATTCCCAGTGACCCTCTAACCCTCTCCCAGTCCCTCCCAGTGCCTCCCAGTGACCCCCAATCCATTCCCAGTGCCTCCCAGTGACCCCATATCCCCCTCTAACCCCCTCCCAGTGCCTTCCCAGTGACCCCCAATCCACTCCCAGTGCCTCCCAGTGACCCCATATCCCCCTCTAACTCCCTCCCAGTGCCTCCCAGTCACCCCCAATCCATTCCCAGTGACCCTCTAACCCTCTCCCAGTGCCTCCCAGTGACCCCCAATGATTCCAAATCCCCTCCCAGTGCTCCCAGTGCTCCCATTTAGGCCATGAAGCTCCAACTGGTGACAGCCCTGGCCGCCCTGGCCGGCGCCTCCTGCTCCCTCCTCCCAGTGCCTCCCAGTGCCTCCCAGTGCCCCCATATCCCCCTCTAATCCATCTCCCAGTGCCTCCCAGTGACCCCCAATCCACTCCCAGTTCCTCCCAGTGCCTCCCAGTGACCCTCTGACCTTCTCCCAGTGCCTCCCAGTGACCCCCAATCCATTCCCAGTGACCCTCTAACCCTCTCCCAGTGCCTCCCAGTGACCCCCAATCCCCTCCCAGTGCCTCCCAGTGCTCCCAGTAACCCCAGTTCTCCCATTTAGGCCATGAAGCTCCAACTGGTGACAGCCCTGGCCGCCCTGGCCGGCGCCTCCTGCTCCCTCCTCCCAGTGCTCCCAGTGCCTCCCAGTGCCTCCCAGTGCCTCCCAGTGCCTCCCAGTGCCTCCCAGTGACCCCCATATCCCCCTCTAACCCCCTCCCAGTCCCTCCCAGTGACCCCCAATCCACTCCCAGTGCCTCCCAGTCCCCCTCTAACCCTCTCCCAGTGCCTCCCAGTGACCCCCAGTGACCCCATAGCCCCCTCTAACCCTCTCCCAGTCCCTCCCAGTGCCTCCCAGTGACCCCATATCCCCCTCTAACCCTCTCCCAGTGCCTCCCAGTGACCCCATATCCTCCCTCTAACCCTCTCCCAGTGCCTCCCAGTGCCTCCCAGTGACCCTCTAATCCTCTCCCAGTGCCTCCCAGTGACCCCCAATCCACTCCCAGTGCCTCCCAGTGCCTCCCAATCCCCTCCCAGTCACCCCCAATCCATTCCCAGTGCCTCCCAGTGACCCTCTAACCCTCTCCCAGTGCCTCCCAGTGACCCCATATCCCCCTCTAACCCTCTCCCAGTGCCTCCCAGTGACCCCCAATCCCCTCCCAGTATTTCTTAATGATTCCAAATCCTCTCCCAGTGCCTCCCAGTGCTCCCAGTAACCCCAGTTTCCCCCTCCAGGCCATGAAGCTCCAACTGGTGACAGCCCTGGCCGCCCTGGCCGGCGCCTCCTGCTCCCTCCTCCCAGTGCTCCCAGTGCCTCCCAGTGACCTCCCAGTGCCTCCCAGTGACCCCCAATCCATTCCCAGTGACCCTCTAACCCTCTCCCAGTCCCTCCCAGTGCCTCCCAGTGACCCCCAATGATTCCAAATCCTCTCCCAGTGCCTCCCAGTGCTCCCATATCCCCCTCTAACCCTCTTCCAGTGCCTCCCAGTGACCCCCAATCCATTCCCAGTGCCTCCCAGTGCCTCCCAATGATTCCAAATCTTCTCCCAGTGCCTCCCAGTGACCCTCTAACCCTCTCCCAGTGCCTCCCAGTGACCCCCAGTGACCCCATAGCCCCCTCTAACCCTCTCCCAGTCCCTCCCAGTGCCTCCCAGTGACCCTCAATGATTCCATATCCGCTCCCAGTAACCCCAGTTCTCCCATTTAGGCCATGAAGCTCCAACTGGTGACAGCCCTGGCCGCCCTGGCCGGCGCCTCCTGCTCCCTCCTCCCAGTGCTCCCAGTGCTCCCAGTGCCTCCCAGTGCCTCCCAGTGACCCCCAATCCTCTCCCAGTGCCTCCCAGTGACCCCCAATCCACTCCCAGTGCTTCCTAGTGACCCCCAATCCCCTCCCAGTGCCTCCCAGTCACCCTCTAACCCTCTCCCAGTGCCTCCCAGTGCCTCCCAGTGACCCCCAATGACTCCAAATCCCTCCCAGTGACCCCCAATCCCCTCCCAGTGCCTCCCAGTGACCCCCAATGATTCCAAATCCCCTCCCAGTGACCCCCAATCCCCTCCCAGTGCTCCCAGTAACCCCAGTTTCCCCCTCCAGGCCATGAAGCTCCAACTGGTGACAGCCCTGGCCGCCCTGGCCGGCGCCTCCTGCTCCCTCCTCCCAGTGCCTCCCAGTGCCTCCCAGTGACCCCATAGCCCCCTCTAATCCATTCCCAGTGCCTCCCAGTGCCTCCCAGTGACCCTCTAACCCCCTCCCAGTGCCTCCCAGTGATCCCCAATCCTCTCCCAGTGCCTCCCAGTGACCCCCAATCCTCTCCCAGTGCTTCCCAGTGACCCCCAATCCCCTTCCAGTGCTCCCAGTAACCCCCAGTATCCACTCCCAGTGAACTCCAACAGTGACAGCCCTAGCCGCCTCGGCCAGGCGCCTCCTGCTCCCTCCTCCCAGTGCTCCCAGTGCCTCCCAGTGCTCCCAGTGCCTCCCAGTGACCCCATAGCCCCCTCTAACCCCCTCCCAGTGCCTCCCAGTGCCTCCCAGTCACCCTCTAACCCCCTCCCAGTGCCTCCCAGTGACCCCCAATGACTCCAAATCCTCTCCCAGTGCCTCCCAACCCCTCCCAGTGCCTCCCAGTGACCCCCAATCCTCTCCCAGTGCTTCCCAGTGACCCCATATCCCCCTCTAACCCTCTCCCAGTGCCTCCCAGTGCCTCCATATCCCCCTCTAACCCTCTCCCAGTGCCTCCCAGTGACCCCATATCCCCCTCTAATCCAATCCCAGTGCCTCCCAGTGACCCCCAATCCACTCCCAGTGCCTCCCAGTGACCCCCAATGATTCCAAATCCCCTCCCAGTGCCTCCCAGTCACCCTCTAACCCTCTCCCAGTGCCTCCCAGTGACCCCCAATGATTCCAAATCCACTCCCAGTGCCTCCCAGTACTCCCAGTAACCCAAATTTCCCCCATTTCTCCCTCTCCAGGCCATGAAGCTCCAACTGGTGACAGCCCTGGCCGCCCTGGCCGGCGCCTCCTGCTCCCTGCTGGCCGAAGGCTCCTCCCAGTCCTCCCAGTGCTCCCAGTCTGGAGCTGGGATTTCCTCGGGAATCCTTCCCTTCACGGCTGGGGGGTTCATCTACCTGGGCACGGTGTCGGTGATCCCGGAGATCCTGCGGAATTCCGGGCCCTTCCCGGCCCTCCTGCAGCTCCTGGCGCTGCTGGCTGGGCTGGCCATGATGCTGATTATTGCTATTTTTGAGTAGATTGGGGAATTTTGGGGGGAAATCCCGGAATTCTGGGAGTTTTGGAATGCCTGGATATCGAGTTTTTCCATGGGATTGTCCCACTGGGAATGGGATCAGGAATTCCCAATTTAGGCCCCAAATATCCCAAATTTTCCCACCTCAAAATCCCAAATTTTCCCAATAAAATCATCCCAAAAATTCCCATAAAATCACCCCAAAATTCCCATAAAATAATCCCAAAATTCCCATAAAATCACCCCAAAAATTCCCATAAAATCATCCCAAAATTCCCATGGGAATGAGATCCAAAATTCCCAATTTAGGACCCCAAAACCCCATCCCAAAATCCCAAATTTTCCCATAAAATCATCCCAAAATTCCCATGGGAATGGGATCAGGAATTCCCAATTTAAGACCCCCAAAATCCCCCCCCAAAATTCCTCCTGGATCCCAAATTTTCCCATGGGATCATCCTGGGATTTTCCCACCAGGAATAGGATCAAGAATTCCCAACTTAGGACCCCAAATCCCCCCTAAATCCCACCCCAAAATCCCAAATTTTCCCCTGGGATCATCCCATTATTCCAGTGCCATCATCCTGGGCTATTCCTGCCAGGAATTCCCCCCTTTGGGAGCCCCAAAATCCCGGAATTCCGGGCCCTTCCCGGCCCTCCTGCAGCTCCTGGCGCTGCTGGCTGGGCTGGCCATGATGCTGATTATTGCTGTTTTTGAGTGAAATCCGGGAATTTTGGGATTTGGGGGGGGAAATCCTGGAATTCTGGGAGTTTTGGGATGCCTGGATATCGAGTTTTTCCATGGGATTGTCCCACTGGGAATGGGATCAGGAATTCCCAATTTAGGCCCCAAATATCCCAAATTTTCCCACTCCAAAATCCCAAATTTTCCCCGTGGGATCATCCCAAAATTCCCATAAAATCATCCCAAAAATTCCCATAAAATCACCCCAAAATTCCCATAAAATCACCCCAAAATTCCCACCAGGAATGGGATCAGGAATTCCCAATTTAGGACCCCCAAAATCCCCCCAAAATCCCAAATTTTCCCATCCCAAAATCCCAAATTTTCCCATAAAATCATCCCAAAATTCCCATAAAATCATCCCAAAAATTCCCATAAAATCATCCCAAAATTCCCATGGGAATGAGATCCAAAAATCCCAATTTAGGACCCCCAAATCCCCCAAATCCCCCCCAAAATCCCAAATTTTCCCATAAAATCATCCCAAAATTCCCATGGGAATGGGATCAAAAATTCCCAATTTAGGACCCCCAAAATCCCCCCCAAATCCCATCCCAAAATCCCAAATTTTCCCACCCCAAAATCCCAAATTTTCCCACCCCAAAATCCCAAATTTTCCCATGGGATCATCCCATAAATTCCCATAAAATCATCCCAAAAATTCCCATAAAATCATCCCAAAATTCCCATAAAATCATCTCCAAATTCCCATGGGAATGAGATCCAAAAATCCCAATTTAGGACCCCCAAAATCCCCCCTAAATCCCACCCCAAAATCCCAAATTTTCCCATCCCAAAATCCCAAATTTTCCCACCCCAAAATCCCAAATTTTCCCATAAAATCATCCCCAAAATTCCCATAAAATCATCCCAAAATTCCCATGGGAATGGGATCCAAAAATCCCAATTTAGGACCCCAAAATCCCAAATTTTCCCATAAAATCATCCCAAAATTCCCATGGGAATGGGATCAGGAATTCCCAATTTAAGACCCCCAAAATCCCCCCCAAAATTCCCTCTGGATCCCAAATTTTCCCATGGAATCATCCTGGGATTTTCCCACCAGAAATGAGATCAAGAATTCCCAATTCAGGACCCCAAAATCCCCCCTTTTCCCACCCCAAAATCCCAAATTTTCCCCTGGGATCATCCCATTATTCCAGTGCCATCATCCTGGGCTATTCCTGCCAGGAATTCCCCCCTTTGGGAGCCCCAAAATCCCGGAATTCCGGGCCCTTCCCGGCCCTCCTGCAGCTCCTGGCGCTGCTGGCTGGGCTGGCCATGATGCTGATTATTGCTATTTTTGAGTGAAATTGGGGAATTTTGGGGGAATTTTGGGATTTGGAGAGGAAAATCACGGAATTCCGGGAATTTTGGGATGTGTGGGTAACGGTTTTTGGGCTGGGATTGGGATTTTTGGGGAGAAATCCCTGGAATTCCAGGTTTTCCAGAGTGTTTGGTCACCAATTTTAGTCTGGGATTGGGATTTTTTGGGGAGAAATCCCTGGAATTCCAGGTTTTTCAGAGCATCTGGATAAGGGTTTTTAGACTGGGAGAGTCCCAGTTTTTCCATGGATTCGTCCCCTTGGGAATGGGATCAGGAATTCCTGGTTTGGGAGACCAAAATCACCCCTAAATCCACCCCAAAATCCCAAATTTTCCCACCCCAAAATCTCAAATTTTCCCACCCCAAAATCCCAAATTTTCCCATGGGATCATCCCAAAATTCCCATGGGAATGAGATC